GGCGTTTGAGGAGTTGAAAGGAAAATTGTGATTCCGTGTGATCCATTGTGAGATATGCAAAAGAGTCGAGAGAAAAATAATAAGAGTGCGGAAGTCGTGTTGGACCATAACCCATTTTCTTAAACTCAAATAATATCGATCACTTATATCTGAGTATACAAACATACGGGAGCAAGCTCGAGGGAAATCTCGTTGATATTATTCTGTCTTTACCTTCTGCTTCAATACTGTAAGATCTTTCTTATTTATGTTAAATACTTGCATTAATATTTGCACTCATGATATTTATAAAGTTTTAGTTACTATTATTCAATATTTAGAAATTGACGGCGAAAGGAAAACAGAAGAAATTAAATCATTTTATACTGTACTTGATTATTTTTTGAAAAATAGTAGAAATATACCTATGCCTTTATATTTTATAGAAAATATAGTCAGAATTAATAAAAAAATTAATAAATTAGAAAATAAAATTAGAATATTAAACGATTGTTTTGATAAAAAATATATTGATAAATACCAGTATAATTGACTTTTCTATTTATTAGGAGAAATATATCAAACTTATCCTATATTAGGAATAGAGAAACTTGACTTGACTAAAAGATAGAAGAAGGACATTTAAGTCTTTTTATTTCTGCCACCTCATTTTGTAACCCAGCTTTGTCAACGGACTTGGGTAGTGTAGCGCGATCGTAAATAAAATTACATGTATACTTAGCTAATATGCTTCATGAATATTAAGTGAAGGAAAAACATCTCTAACATATTTAAGTAGTACAAAGAGCATACTAAACATCTCTAATGGTAGAAAAGTTTTCTTAATTGTTGATAATTGTCCCGCTCATCCAAAATCTATTGAAGGTTCGAAAATATTGATTTTTTTTTTTTGCCACCCAACACAACATCAAAGATTCAATTTGTGGTGTGGAATAATACGGGCTTTCAACATATATTATCATCGTCGATTTTATCAAAATCTTTTGGATCTTATGAAGTTGAGATCCTAAATCCATAAGAAGATAATTTTTTAGATGTAATGAATCTTGTAATTTCGACTTAGAAAACATATGTTCAAGTAAGTACAATTGTAAATTATTTTTGACATTATAAAATTAGGTTATGTATAATGTGGATCAGGAGAATTTGGATCAATATTCAGATGATAGAGGCGTTCAACAATTGCATGTTCCAATCAAAGAGTTGAAATATCGTGATACAATGAATGTTGAGTACCTTTTAAAATTATCCAAGAGAAAACGAGACAACTTCAGAGTTATTCAGTGACCAGCAAATTATTGAGAACGTCATAAAAAATGACAAAGAAGATGCAGTTGAAAATGGTGGTTCTATATTGGAGCCTATCTCACACAAAGATGCAATCCGAGCAACAATCACATTGCATAATTTTCTCTTGCAATACGAGAACACTACACTAGAGCTTTTTAATGTGTTTAGTAAGTTAGAGATGAAATTTAAAATGACATCAATTTCAAGAGAAAACAAGTAATATTGAAGTCATATGATACCAAGTAGGATATACGTGTTTTATAAAAATGTATTATCTTATAAATTAAACGAATTATTAATTTAACATACTGGGCCAAAATTGGGACAGATCGAAAATATTATTTATTTGAGATTATTATTTTATCGAGATTATACTGAATATTGAAGTTACGAAACCTAATTGCAGTTAGATTAAAAGTTGGGTGATTGCCCGTACAATTATCTCTATTAAGGGCGTGCTTGAGTCACATTATTTTGAAAGAATGTATTCTGAAATAGTAAATTGATGGAGAATTTGTGGTTGAAAAAGAAGGAAAAATTATTAATGTGATAAAAAATATTATTTTATTGAAAAATGTGTGGTTGAAAATGAGTATTGATTTTGAGAATCAGAAACAAATAACCCCTAAATAATATTACTCAAAGTTATATTTAAAAAATAAAATTATTCAGTTATTAAAAATGAGTAGAAGAATATGAATACAAATTGTTTGGGCTAGGTGATACAATATAACCGATAATTATCATAGAAAGAGAGAACGAGAAGTGGGATGGCACGTAGGGAGAGAAATACGGAGTCGTATGGGAGTTGTAGTGGTTTTCACGCGCTACCGGAGGGATGTATAGCCAACGTGCTGTCGTTGACGAGCCCGAAGGACGCATGTCGACTGTCGTCTGTATCCCCCATGTTCAATTCAGCTGCTGGATCCGATACGGTTTGGGAGCGGTTTTTGCCTTCTGATTATCGCGATATTATCTCCCGCTCAATTGACGGTGCTGATCCGTTTCTCTCTAAGAAAGAGCTCTATTTCCACCTCTGTCAAGTCCCTATCCTCATCGACAGTGGCACCAAGGTGATACAAATTTCAATCAATTTTATTGATTTTGGATTATATATCTGGAATTTATCCCATCTGGATTTTTATTTTTATTTTATTTTATAGTTGGAGGTTGTTCGATTTTCATGTATTTTGTGCAAATTAAAAATCAAGTAGCTTTACAAATATGGATTAATTGTTGAGAATATACTCTTTCTTGCTGTGCTTAGTGTTTCAATTTTATAAATGTGTTCTATCTTAATGAAATTCTTTCCAAATAAGGTTACTTTCAGAATTGCAAAAAGATGAATTATTTGAATTTTAAATTGTAATGAACAATACGCCTAGGTTATTTAGATTAATGAATTTTAGTGCTGTGCTTGCTGTTTCAACAATAATGAGTTCTATATCTCTTAATATTGGAACTCAATAATTTTATTCCTCCAGATGCCCAACGTTCCACTAAGTTATGTTCTCTCATTACATTTGGATCATCTTGGAAATTTTAGCTCGACTTTATGTTTCATTTATTCAAGTTGAGGATGCATATTACAGAGCTTTTTTTTGGACAAAGAGACGGGAAAGAAGTGCTTTATGCTGGCTGCAAGGGATCTCTTTATTGAGGGGGGTGATAGACCTGAATATTGGGAATGGATCTCTATTGCTAAGTCCAGGTACTACAATTATCCCGCATAAGAATAAAGAATATCTTTTCCTTCTAGTATTATTTTGAAAGCGGAATTATTTTCCTTCTAGTGTTAATTTGATAGTGGATGGTTCGTTTCACCTTTGATTCAGATTCCGTGAGGTGGCAAAGCTCAATTGGATTCATAGGTTTGAAGTTCGTGGCAAGATAAAATGTAGCATGCTATCTTCAGGAACAAAATATTCAGCTTACATTATTTACACTTGTAATTCAAGATTTCAAGGATTTTATTATGAACCTGCTGAATCTTTGGTGGGAATTAGTGGGCATGATGGTCAAAAACGAACTGTTTGTTTCGATCCAAGAGGAGCAATGTACAATCGTACTAGATATAGACGGCGGCATGGCAGTGTGCCCATAGATCACAATACCGAGTACCCCAAGTTGAGGGCAGATGGATGGATGGAAGTTGAGTTGGGGGAGTTTTTGGTGGAGGGAGAACAAGATTGCAATATGGAAATAAATTTGATGCATGTGGAGGGTGGAAACTGTATGAAGGGTATCATGATTCAAGGGATTGAGATCAGACCAAAATCTGGGTGATTATGTACCACATTATTGTATGTTACATCATGGACAACTTCGAAAAGTTTACATCCAGAAACTCGTTGCTCGAAGAACCGCCATCATTTATGGCTCTATATTGCTCCCTTTGTAGTGAAAATGTATGAACACAATGCACAACTCGTTACTACACATTGAATGATAGATTGTAACTTTTTATAGCTCTTTGTTACTCTCGTTCTTGAATGAATGTAATTCGATCAATATTTATTCGCCTTTTTTATTTTTAAAACTTCTAAAAGTAGGTGAAAATGATTGTTTTGCTTGTGTTGAAATGTGCAAGAAATTTGAACGGTAAAATTTTTTTTATAGAAAGGGAAATGAATATAGCCTTCTATATAATGCCAAAAATGACAAATAATTTGCCCAACTGTTTACATGAAGGGATATGAATAAAATTACATTCAATGTATACTTAGCCTCCGTTTGGTATACATTAAAATTTTCATTTTCATTCTTCTACTCGTTTTTAATCACACATTCTTCAATAAAATAATTTTTCTATCACATCAATAACTTTTCCTTCTTTTCGAACCATACATTCCCCATCAATCTACTATTTCGAAATACATTCTTCCAAAATAATGTAGCTCAAACACACCCTTAGTTAATATACTACATATTTAAGTAGTACAAAGAGCATACTAAACATCTCTAATGGTAGAAAAGTTTTCTTGATTGTTGATAATTGTCCCGCTCATCCAAAATCTATTGAAGGTTCGAAAATATTGACTTTTTTTTTTTTTGCCACCCAACACAACATCAAAGATTCAGTTTGTGGTGTGGAATAATACGGGCTTTCAACATATACTATCATCGTCAATTTTATCAAAATCTTTTGGATCTTATGAAGTTGAGATCCTAAATCCATAAGAAGATAAATTTTTAGATGTAATGAATCTTGTAATTTCAACTTAGAAAACATATGTTCAAGTAAGTACAATTGTAAATTATTTTTGACATTATAAAATTAGGTTTATGTATAATGTGGCTCAGGAGAATTTGGATCGATACTCAGAATCTCAGATGATAGAGGCGTTCAACAATTGCATCTTCTTATCAAAGAGTTGAAATATCGTGATACAATGAATGTTGAGTACCTTTTTAAATTATCCAAGAGAAAACGAGGCAATTTTAAAGTTATTGAGTGACCAGCAAATTATTGAGAACGTCATAAAAAATGATAAAGAAGATGCAGTTGAAAATGGTAGTTCTGTATTGGAGCCTATCTCACACAAAGATGCAATTCGGGCAACAATTACATTGCATAATTTTCTCTTGCAATACGAGAACACTACACTAGAGCTTTTTAATGTGTTAAGTTAGAGATGAAATTCAAATGACATCAATTTCAAGAGAGAGGAAATAATACTAAAGTTATATTATACCAAGTAGGATATACGTGTTTTATAAAAAGGTATTATCTTATAAATTAAACGAGTTATTAATTTAGCATATCGGTCCAAAATTGGGACCGATCAAAAATATTATTTATTTGAGATTATTAACCTATCGAGATTGTAATGAATATCGAAGTTAAGAAACCTAATTGCAGTTAGATTAAAAGTTGGGTGACTACCCGTACAATCAACTCTATTAAATGTGTGTTTGAGCCACATTCTTTTGGAAGAATTTATTCTGGAATAGTAGATTGATGTAGAATTTGTGGTTGAAAAAGAAAGAAAAATTATTAATATGATGGAAAATATTATTTTATTGAAGAATGTATAATTGAAAATGAGAGTGTGTTTGGTAGGGATTTTTTGGGGAAGAATTGATTTTTGAATAGTGATATGATGGGAAATGTGTGGTTGAAAAAGAAGAAAAGAGTATTGATGTGATGGAAAATATTATTTTATTGAAGAATGTGTGGTTGAAAATGAGAATTGATTTACTGTAGAAAATGATAATTTTTACCAAACAGGCTCTGAATAGAAGAATGAGAATGCAAATTTGTTTGGGCTAAGTGATGCAATATAACAGATATTTATCATAGAAAGAGAAAACGAGAAGTGGGATGGCACGTAGGGAGAGAAAAACGGTGTCGTCTGGGAGTTGTAGTGGTTTTCACGCGCTACCGGAGGCATGTATAGCCAACGCGCTGTCGTTGACGAGCCCGAAGGACGCATGCCGACTGTCGTCTGTATCCTCCATGTTCAGTTCAGCTGCTGGATCCGATGCGGTTTGGGAGCGGTTTTTGCCTTCTGATTATCGCGATATTATCTCCCGCTCAATTGACGGTGCTGATTCGATTCTCTCTGAATTTCGCTCTAAGAAAGAGCTCTATTTCCACCTCTGTCAAGTCCCTATCCTCATCGATAGTGGCACCAAGGTAATACAAATTTCAATGAATTTTATTGATTTTGGATTATATAACTGGAATTTATCGCAGCTGGATTTTTATTTTTATTTTATTTTATAGTTGGAGGTTGTTCGATTTTCATGTATTTTGTGCAAATTAAAAATCACGTAGCTTTACAAATATGGATTAATTGTTGAGAATATACTCTTTCTTGCTGTGCTTAGTGTTTCAATTTTATAAATGTCTTCTATCTTAATGAAATTCTTTCCAAATAAGGTTACTTTCAGAATTGCAAAAAGATGTATTATTTGAATTTTAAATTGTAATGAACAATACGCCTAGGTTATTTAGATTAATGAATTTTAGTGCTGTGCTTGCTGTTTCAATTTCCCTTGGTTATAACTCCATGATAACACAAATTCTGTTTTTCAACAATAATGAGTTCTATGACTCTTAATGTCGAAACTCAATAATTTTATTCCTCCAGATGCCCAACGTCCCACTAATTTATGTTCTCTCATTACATTTGGATCGTCTTGGAAATTTTAGCTCGACTTTATGTTTCATTTATTCAAGTTGAGGATGCATATTACAGAGCTTTTTATTGGACAAAGAGACGGGAAAGAAGTGCTTTATGCTGGCTGCAAGGGATCTCTTTATTGAGGGGGGTGATACTCCTGAATATTGGGAATGGATCTCTTTTACTGAGTCCAGGTACTACAATTATTCCGCATAAGAATAACGAATATCTTTTCCTTCTAGTATTATTTTGAAAGCGGAATTATTTTCCTTCTAGTGTTAATTTGATAGTGGATGGTTCGTTTCACCTTTGATTCAGATTCCCTGAGGTGGCAAAGCTCAATAGGATTCGTAGGTTTGAAGTTCGTGGCAAGATAAATGCTAGCATGCTATCTTCAGGAACAAAATATTCAGCTTACATTATTTACACTTGGAACTCAAGATTTCAAGGATTTGATTATGAACCTGCTGAGTCTTTGGTGGGAATTAGTGGGCATGATGGTAAAAAACGAACTGTTTGTTTAGATCCAAGAGGAGCAGGGTACAGGAATTTGCCTTTTAATCATCGCAATCCTCCTGGATATAGATGGCGGCATGGCAATGTGCCCATAGATCACAATACCGAGTACCCCAAGTCGAGGGCAGATGGATGGATGGAAGTTGAGTTGGGGGTGTTTTTTGTTGAGGGAAAAGAAGATTCGGATGTGGAAATAAGTTTGATGGAGGTGAAGGGTGGAAACTGGAAGAATGGTCTCATTATTCAAGGGATTGAGATCAGACCAAAAGCTGGGTAAATATTTATCTTGTACCCTAGGCCTATTGTATGATACTACTAGTCATGGACACCTTTGGAAATTTTACATCTAGAAACTCAGAGCTTGAAGCGTGTTTTCTTTTGGGTTGTTTGAAGTTCTTGGCGTGCTAGACGAATAAGACCCAAGTCCTTACGTGTTTAGGGTATGGGAAAAGGGGCGGAGATTGAGTTGTAAACATACCCCTGCATTAATGACAAGTACATACTAGGAAAAATTCTCACTATTTGTAGCTCTCTCTTGCTCTCTTGTAGTGAAAATGTATGATGAACGCAATCTAGAACTCGTTGGTTCGTGTTGAATGCTTAAATTTTTTATTCAAAAACATGCATGAGACGTCCACTGCAGTAGCTTCGTGGCTTTTCAGCAGAAGAGAACAAAGTGACATGTCTAATTAGATGGGCTCTATAGCCTGACATTTAGTTAAATATGTCGTCTAATGTTATCTGTATTGTCTCCTTAGATTTGTGTTAAGAATTATACTGCTTGTACTGAATAATATTACTATATTATAATTCCTATATTAAAATTATGTTGGTTCTTGAATTATTGTAATTATTTTTTGCAGTTTTATTCACTTTTTTGTTTTTTTTTGCCTTTTCTAAAAGTAGTTGAAATATCATTTTGCTTGCGTTGAAAGTAAACAGGAAATTTGAACGAAAGGGAAATGAATATACTCTTCTATGCAATGCCAATAATGATAAGTAATTTAAGTAACTATTCACATGTTGGGAGACTACAATTATACAACTTATTTTGCTATAGAAGTAAACAGGGAATCTATTTTCCATTTCTTACTTAAAATCTTAAATGTATTTAACTTTATTACTCAAAAACGAATCAATTTTCCTTTTCTTACTGATTAACATGAACGAAGAGAAATGAAAGTTCAAAATCTAACTTTTTAATGAATGTCAATATTATATATTAAATATCTACTCACCGGTTTATCTTTTTCTTCTATTACTATTTTTTCAATATCAAATATCTACTCATCAATTTAAACACCTAGAGTAGGATTTTATTTATGAAATGGAATTATACAATTTCAGGTGCCAATCGTGCTTGATGTACATCCTATTTTGCCAGCTTCTTTGATGGAATGACACACGTCATTGTGTCGTTGTACATAATTATGTACAAGTAGCACAACTCCTTGTTGAGACTAGTTTAATCGGGCATTATAATCTTCTTTTTATTCAATTTATGTTTCATCTTCATTTCTTGCATACATAATGAATTTGCATTCATACAAACAAAACTTGGTACAGAAGTTTAAAGAACTTGTATTACATAGCTGATATGGATCATTCGAGCCAAATGTTTATAAAGGGTCAGGGACAATATTTTTTTAGCAAAGTTTTCACATCTAGGTGTCGACTAAATTTGAAGTTTCGACTCAAGACTTAATAACGATTTACGCTTTTTAGAACACTAGTTTCTAACGCCAAATCACACAAATAGACAGCCTCAATAATCAGTTCAGGAATTTGCTTCCTAAAGACTTGCACCGTTTCCAGAATACCGGTAGGTGTTGTGAGCTGCAAATTCGATACATAGCAAAACAATGAAATCTGATGACTGTGGATATGAAATTGACTGAAGCAGGTGCTGGCAGTGGAGACAAGTGAAAGGTAATGCTCTAGCGGTGGTGGCAGTTGCCCCTGGAGGCAGAGATGGGGCCGGATCTGATGGATGCCTTCTGGCAGCGGCAATCTGATTGGGCCCGAGCCGAACCAAACCGAACCGACCGGTTTTTTGTAAATTAAATACCCGAACGGTTACCCGAATCAAGAACGAATGGGTTTGGATCCAGTCTCGGGTTTAGACCAAGAACCGAAGAATCGAATAAGAATCGAAACTAAATAATTTTTTTGTTTTTTATATTGAATTAATTAAATTATTTTATTTTTTTTTAAACAAATTAGCAAATTAGTTAAATAAATCAAATTATTTCATAATTTTAAGAGGAAATTACATAAAACCAGGTATTTAAGTTTTCAAATTCAAAAATCAGATCTAAAGTTTATTTAATCAAAAATCAGGTATTAATTTGATTAATAATTATATTAATTGGATTAATAATTAAAACCCAAATGAAAACCTAATTTACTTCAAATCCTCTCTCGCGGTATCACCCATCTCTCTCTCTCTCTCTCTCTAAACACCGTCCTCTGTAAACACCGTCTACTTGGAAGAGAATCTCCAGCGCAGAGGCTTCACCACCGAAAGATGTGAGTGTCGCGCTCTGTTCGGTGATCTATGCTCTGTTAGGTGGCGCTCAGATCTGTTACACAGCGTCGATTTGAGCCTCGGTGTCTATGCTCACAATGGCGATTCGCGGATTTGTGTGGTGGGTGTAGGAGCATTGGAGTTGCTGGAGTTGGGTGTGGGAGCACTGGAGTTGCTGGTGGTGGGTGTAGGAGAATGGGCTTCGCTACTGGGGGCCGGGTGAAGATGAGGGCTTATCCTCGGGGGACTCTGCTGGGGTGGATGAGTTGGTAGGAGGAGAGGAAGCGGGGCTTGAGGATTTTAGGGCAGAGGATTTTGGTGCCGATGTTTTAGATGATGATTTAGGTGCAGGCACTGGTGAGGATTTTGGGGTGGCAGCCGGGGTCTTACTTTCCTTCGGCGACGATGCAGCTTTTGGGGAAGACGATTTAGGTGCAGGTGATGAAGTCAGAGAGCTGCTTGGAGACGAAGTGGCGGATCTGGCGGTGGTCGTGGTCCTGGCGGTTGTGATGGTTTCTGCCAGTGGTTGTGTCGACGGTGGAGACGGTTATGTTGGGGTGGTGGCCGTGCTTTGTTTGGTGGCCGTGGGTGGCGGTGTTTTGTGTGGTGGTAGTGGCTGAAGTGGTGGCTGTGGTATGTGATCAAGTATTTGGTTATCTGTGACCAAATATTTAACTGTGACCTAAAAATTTGACAATATGTGACTGAAAAATAATCTGTGACCAACAAATTTGAAAATATGTGACCAATGAAATTAACCATTTTTTTATATGTGAC